CAATGTTCAATGAAATTGCAAATTCTTAACGAGATAAATGGTCAAGATTATGTAATTGTAGTGATGTGTTTACTGTTTATTGTTTATAAATCTGTGTCAAATCCTTGTTTTAATTAAGTATATTGCATGTATTGTACGCCCTAGAGGCAAAACATAGCGCTCTCAACATATTACATAAGAACTTAATTATAATGTACCTATGTTTTACAATGAATAAATGAATCTTGAATCTTGAATAGGTATTATTGTTATAAACATGTAATGTCACTTCCTATTATTATGGTAAAATTCTATTGTATTATGTTTGTTAGGTTAGGTTTTGTGCTTCTTCAGTTCTGATTTCTGTATGTAAAAATAAACAGGTAAATGTGGCACTTGGCCACTGTAATTTGATGTGGAAGTAAGATAAACTGACTAGGTAAAGAATAATAATAATTTGATTAGTGTACACATAGCACAACTATAAGCATTGTAAAGTGTAGTGTTGGCATGTGTAGATGGTCCCTGTGCGGCAGTGGTCTGTCGGAGCGCAAGGCGGCGCTACTGAAGTTGTCGCTGGAGGCGGCGACATTGTAAAGTGTAGTGTTGGCATGTGTAGATGGTCCCTGTGCGGCAGTGGTCTGTCGGAGCGCAAGGCGGCGCTACTGAAGTTGTCGCTGGAGGCGGCGACATTGTAAAGTGTAGTGTTGGCATGTGTAGATGGTCCCTGTGCGGCAGTGGTCTGTCGGAGCGCAAGGCGGCGCTACTGAAGTTGTCGCTGGAGGCGGCGACATTGTAAAGTGTAGTGTTGGCATGTGTAGATGGTCCCTGTGCGGCAGTGGTCTGTCGGAGCGCAAGGCGGCGCTACTGAAGTTGTCGCTGGTATTGTACGCCCTAGAGGCAAAACATAGCGCTCTCAACATATTACATAAGAACTTATAATGTACCTATGTTTTACAATGAATAAATGAATCTTGAATCTTGAATAGGTATTATTGTTATAAACATGTAATGTCACTTCCTATTATTATGGTAAAATTCTATTGTATTATGTTTGTTAGGTTAGGTTTTGTGCTTCTTCAGTTCTGATTTCTGTATGTAAAAATAAACAGGTAAATGTGGCACTTGGCCACTGTAATTTGATGTGGAAGTAAGATAAACTGACTAGGTAAAGAATAATAATAATTTGATTAGTGTACACATAGCACAACTATAAGCATTGTAAAGTGTAGTGTTGGCATGTGTAGATGGTCCCTGTGCGGCAGTGGTCTGTCGGAGCGCAAGGCGGCGCTACTGAAGTTGTCGCTGGAGGCGGCGACATGCGCTCAGCGCGACCGGTTCGCGGAGCAGCCGGCGCGGGCCGTCGCCGCCGCCGCCGCCGCCACCGCCGCCACCGCGGACTACATCATACAGGTAGCCGTACACTACATCCCGTATATTCTATCTTGAATTCCAATAAAATAGGTACATTGTTAAAAAACTTCAGACGTTTTTTTCCAAGTCTAAAACTATCGTCGTACCGAATTTCACTCAAATAAGTTTAATAGTTTAAAAGATAGAGAGACCCAGAAGCTTAAAACGAAGTTTGTGTCCCATGAGATTTCTGGGATATACTTACTACATCGTTTCCAGCATCAGTCTCAAACTTTCGTTGAAAAGAATTTTAATCAAATAGATTCAGTGGTTATTAATATCATTATTCGGCCTCTTTGCATACGTTAATGTAATATCAAGATAACAAGAAAAAATTGTCAATAACCCATTGGCATGAAACTTGGATGACAGACAAAAAATGTCAAGTAACATAGAAAGGTATACTTAATATTTTAGAGTGTGTGTCTGTTTGTTTTATTTTTATTGAGTTGTAAGTTTTGAAGTAGCATAGGCTACATTTCGTTTCTTTCTGATTTTCCTAAAACAGGGGTAGAGGATTGTATGGAGCATTTCGAGATTTTGTGACCAGCAAAAATCGTGCACTAATTCTTTTTTATCATTTGTAAATCTGCCTTTATTATTTTAAAACAGTGCGAGAAACCATTGGCAGAAGCTAGTCCATGAATAAAATGTATTTAATGAATTGAATTGAATCTCAATGATGGAATGTATGAATCCGCCCCCATTGTTGCGTGTCCCAGGACGTGTCGGACCCGATGGTCCTGCAGCCCGCGTGGCTGGACACGGTGTCGCTGCGCCAGGCCGACAAGCCGCTCGGCTTCGACGTCGTGCCGTCCTTCTGCGGCCACCACCAGCTCGCCGACATACGCTTCGGCTCGCCCGCGCACGCCTCGGGGGCCGTGCATAATGGGGACGAGATAGTCCAGGTATACTTACACGTTCTTTGCGTAAACAGACTCAATAATAAAACCTACGCCAGTTCAACTACTGCTACAATCTAGGATCGCGGTTAGTATGGTGGCTTGGAACGCCGTTAAACGAGCAGATGGATCACTGATGGTAAGCAATCAGCGTCGCCCATGGACACCTGGAACACCAGAGGCGTTATAGGCTCTTTGGGGATTAGGAGTTTGAGGGTTGTTGGGGATTCAGGGATTGGGGAGATTGGGGAAGGGGAGGGTAAGGGAGATTGGGGAAGGGGAGGGTAAGGGAGATAGGGGAAGGGGAGGGTAAGGGAGATTGGGGAAGGGAAGGGTGATTGGGTTTCCGGTAACCTCACTCACACGACGAAACACAACGCAAGCGTTGCTTCATGCTGGTTTTCTGCTCGGCCGTGGTATCACTCCGGGCTAGCTGGTCCATTTGTGCCGAAGCATGGCTTTCCCACACTTTTTGGTTTGGTTTTGTGTTTTGGCTCAAGGTGGTGCTTGCTGTATGATGTAGGAGTAGGATATACAAGTATGAATGAGAAAAAATGTAAAAGCCAATGTGCAGGTGGGCGCGGCGTGCGTGGTGGGGTGGAGCGGCGCGGCCGTGCTGCGCCAGTGTGCGCGCGCCGGCCCGCTGCTGGCGCTGCGGCTGCGGCGCCGCGCC